TCGAACTTAAGTTTGCCTCAACCAAATGTTATGAAACTTATACACAATGCTAAATACAACAAAACCCAGATCAAGTTTGAATTTTAGTGGCGTCATTCTACCCCTTTTAGAGTTATGCTCCTTTACAAATAAAAAAATGTGTATTTTTTGTTTTCATTCTTTAACTTGAGTTTAAATTGCCTAAACCAAATGATATGTAACTTATACAGAATACGTATTACCACAAAACTCAGATCAAGTACAAATTTAGGAAGTGTCACTTTTACTGTTCCTCAGTTATGTCCTTTCATAACTTTATATGATATGCAAGGGGGGCATCATCTGTGTCCCATGAACACATTACCCATTTATTTAAATCTTTCAAGAAACAGATAGAAAACTCAGGGTTAGAATTTATAGAACAGACGAGGGGTTGTAGCAAATATTTCATGTATATTTTGAACATAGAGAAGATTGTCCCGGGAACCTTTGCCAAAAAAAACTTTCGTTTTCTTCTATGCGCCCGCCTTCAGACTTTATGAGAAAATAAGTGTTAGTCAACTTGTGAATGATCTTTCTTCCTTTCTCCAATGCCAAGTAACCCTCGCTAAACATTCCGGTGGACCTCCTACGGCACCCATTAGTAGCTAAATGTTTGATTTCATTCAACAAATAAATTCATGACCTGAATGTACGTGTCTCTTAGAACACGGTCATATACCAAATGGTCAATATTAATCATCGATGTAATTTGCTCTATGGGATGTTTGCAAACTTTCAACGGAGGCAATTTCATGACAAAATTGAACTCTACTGGCTGCTAAAAGCGAATAATTATTTCACTCTTTCACTTTCATTAATGAATAATTACATTAGATGTATGTTTAATTATCATACGTTATTTTGATTGGCTAACAGCAATATCGCGTCATTCTTTTTTAATTTCATATGAATTGCATGAATTGAAACATACATGATGACACACGTTTCCACAATAAAGTGCACAGGTAAATAAAAGAAAAACTTGATAGTAATCGTGTTTTCATGATCATAGCAAAAAATGTAATTATAAGTATTGAATGCTTCTTTTAGTAATTTCAAAGGGTTGTAAAAGCGTGGACCGTGCGTACATTTTTAGAATGAAGCGTTTCCGCGCTTGATACAAAATGTACTTCGGTCAACGCTTTTACACCCCAATGAATTTATAAAAAGTACATTCAATTCTTAATTGAACAAAAACAAAGTCATATTTTAGATTTGTTTTATATATCGTAGCTAGTGCCCCTTTAATTAATCTGTTGATTAAAGTATTCATTTTGTCATAATAATTAAACTGAATCAATAATCAGTAATGTAACAAACCAAAAAAAAAAGAGAATCTATCAAAACATTACACAAAATATTTTCTCATACAGCTTTCAAACAACAGAAATAACAAGCATTATGTGAGTATTGCAGGGCAATATAATAGTCCCCTACCGGTTAAAAACTTGATCTTCAAACTACATTGTATATAACACATATCAAGTCAATATCTTCAAGCACAACGAAAAAGTGAGGACATTATTTAAGTGAATGTTCTGTCCAAGGGCCATAACTCTGCACAAAACCATCCGACCGGAACAAAATTCAAACTTGATCTATAACTTGTCATGATAAAACAATACACCAAATAATAAAATAATATCTTGAAACATGACGAAAAAAAGAGTTGAACACTGATGTGATGGACTGACGGATGGACAGACGGACGGACGAACAGACAGACAGACATATAGACAGACAGACAGACAGACAGATCGACGGAGTGCAAACCTAAAGTCCCAAAAATACTAGTACTCCACTGTTGATTTAGACCTCTCTTCATGTACGGACCTAGGGCGTGTTTTATTGGTTTCTTCTGTATATCTCCAGAATATCTTCTGGTGAATAGTCCAAAAATAATGAATCTGGACCTCTTCAGGAGATATTCCGATGAAAAATTTATAAAACAAAAATACAATTTGCCGTCAAATATAGCACAATTTTTTTTTATGTTGTATTACATAAACGAAATTTATGATAATTTATTAGAAAATTCAGTTACGTCAGTTCATTTGGTAGACATGACTTTAATAGTGTTTTCTGTTTTGGCATTGATGTAATTATATAATAAGTGTAAAGAAAAAAACATTGGTTGGAAGAAATCAGTGTGTACGTGACATTTTTCTTTATCCTTTCTACCTTAATTAAACTAAACAAATACGGCTTAAAGCTCAGACTGTTTATCTTTTTGAAATAATTTGAAACTGAAAAATCTGTCAATAATTTACTAGTACATATATGACCGAAAAGGACATCTTTTCTTTAGAAATTGCATATAAAAGGTATCGCAGAGTTGGAATTTGAAAAAAAATCTACTGGTCAAAACCTTCGGATCACCACTTTTTCAGAACCTTAATCGTACAAATGTATATGTATACAAGGTAATGGCATTTTTCAGACTGTTTATGACTAAATCCGTTTATTGTGTAATGATTGACAGAGGCGGATTTAGGGGGCGGGATACGCAACCCCGTTTTGTGGTAAAAATTTGGTTGATTATATAGGGAATTACTGAAGCATGATTAGAGCGGGCTCCCTCTTGTCCCACTCTCCTTATGAACATTTCTTGATCTGCCACTGATTGATACTTTAGTCTGGAAGAGCATGATTTATTTGTTGGTTTTTATTGGCTTTGAACAAGTTCTCAGTTACTACAAGTACTCTTATTTCGGTGCTTTACGTTTATCATATTTAGCTATTTATTTAATGTTAATTGTTTTTGTGTCTTGTACCGATCTTTTGTGTTAATCCAAATGCAACTGACTTTTACAAGTTGTTTTTATATTGTACTGTTACACCATTGTCTAAGTTTAGGGGTGGATTGAGCGCTCACAAACGTTGAATTCTGCCATATTCTCATGAGCCTGTAGTTCAGTGGTTATTGTTTGTTTATAGACTAAGCGACGCCATGTTTGTTACGTGTCTCTGCCATCTAAACTACCTATTAAAAAAGAAAATGTAGAAGAGAGCCAGAAGAGCTTCCCAATGCAAAAAAAAAAAAAAACAGAAATGGACCTCTTCTGGCTTACTACCGAGGAACAAAACAACACGCCCCTAGTTGACGTTATAATTGTATATAATATACTCAACATGGTCAAACTTGGAATAAAACAAGTATCAATTTAGATACGTCTCTTCAGACTTGTTATTTTTCCTTAAATCATTCATTTCTTCCAAAGTCTAATTTTATACTTTAACTTAGTTTGAGTTGTCATTATAGATGGTCCGAGTTGTCCCCGGGCCGACTTGTCTAGCACCCAACTGAAACGCGGCTGCCCTAAGTTTGAACACCATATTCAACTTCATGACCACCATACCATACTAACCAAAGGAAATGTGAACTACTTTGTTTCAATTCGTAACTTTACCTTACAGAATCCTGGTCCTGAGTAGATTTTGAAGTTGTCGTCAGCAAAAGATTAAAACCGTTCTCATTGCGGGCTTCCGTAATCGTTGATTTCTATATTTTGTGCAATGTCAATTTCATCATGGAATACTTTCTCCACAATCAGGGGTTCATTTAGGGATAAAAATAAGTTTGATATTTATGTTATTAATATATAATTATGATTTAAAAAGCTATCAATATATTAATTTAAGTTGCAGTATAAAACAATATTAGGTCAATGTCATAAAGATATAAACTTTTTTTGTATTCGGCACAAAACTGGGGAAGGGCTCAGTAAAAACTCGCCCTTCTCCAGTTTATCAGCCTCATACAAACAATTTCATATTTTTCTGACATTGACCTAATATTGTATGTGTAGAAGTACTTAAAGATGACAAAAAGTTTAAGTACTGAAAAATGACTTAAATATTCAGTACTGAAAAAGTCTGAAATTTTCAGTACTGAAAAATAATTAACATTTCTGGTACTGAAAACAACTTTTTTCTCAACATTACTGAAAACATGCATATAATTATATGTACTGAAAAGGTATGGGTAAGAAATGTACTGATTGGTGATATTTTTTACCAGTACTGTATATGTAGTGGCATTAAAAGTACACGAAAACGCTGTATAAATTCCTGGTAGTGTAGTATAATTCGTGGTTGTTTAAATTCTTATGGTTTGATAGTTGTATTTGTATTATTAGCCAAAGCGGATATTTGTTTTATCTTACAAAACTTTCTAACCCCTCCCCCCTCCCCCACCCCCTCCCATAAAAATTGTGACTTTTTGAACGCTTAAATAATGGGTATGTCTTTTTGTCTTTTTTTGTGGAGCACCAGTCTGTCTATGACTGCAATTAAGTTAAACTGCTAGATTTTTCATTTATGAAATGTATGATATAGAACAAATAAACTGCGTCATGTCAAACGTCGCCTTTATGAAACCCTGATTACTTATCCTAACATGGTTTTGTCTTCAAATATGTAATGAAAACACTACACTGTGTTATGTAATTTATTATGCATCCGATTCCATTTTAGATTATTTAGCATACAATATCGTATGAACATTTTTACAATATTTATAAAGAATACAATGTAAAGTTGAAGAAGCTTAACAGAACATAAACATTATTTCCTTTACATATTGTCATTTAATAGTTCTGTTTTCTTCCAATGTAAATTACACTCATATTTAACTGTTGTTTTTTGTCGAGTTTCGCATTAATTTTTTTATTTTAGTTATCATTTCTTAATACTTGTTTTTTGTCAGTTAGATTTGTATTGTGAACATAAATGCAATTTTGCTACTGAATGAACTGTCATGAATGACTGTTTTCTTCACAAAATCGTGATTATAGTCTCTAAACGAAGTTGACAACTAACACATATTGAAAGGTACTTTAAGCTACAACTGTAGTCACGGTAACAAAATTAACATACCGCAAAGTGTGCTCGTATCTGATGCAATTGATATCGTTATTGTTCATTTATGTTTTTATATGCTATCTTTAATGTAAACGTATAAGGTATTTCAATTTAAGGAGATTCGTTGAACTTCAGCAACGGAATGAAATTCACTACTGTTGACAGGGATAATGATTTATCCTCTACCAACTGTGCCATGGAACGTGGACCTTGGTGGTTTAAAAGCTGTTCTCGAAGTGCCCTGAACTATCCATTAAGAAACAATTGGTACTAGTATCATATAAGCGGTCATTATGTAAAGATGTCGGTGATGATGATACGGAAGTTCTAGATAAATAAAATTATTTACATAAACATTGTATGAATTATTTCGCTATGATCTAAGGCATGATACATATTTTGCTAGGCACGCGTTTAAGAATCAGATATTTCAAGTTATAAAGGAGGGGAATATCGACTATAACTGATTTTAATGAGTGTTGTTCCTTATACAAGTAAACCATGATGTGCCTGAATAAAAGGTAACCTTAGAACGAACAAATACACTTAACTACGGCCAAGCTTAGCAAAAGGCCGTGCGATGTAATCAGTTAAACAAACTTTATTAGGTCAACTCGCCAAGGAACAATCGTTCTCATTGGTCAATTCAAACCTTCAACCTCACATAAACTTTCAATCAACGCCGCCCAAGCACACCTGAGAATTTAGAACGTGTGTACTTTAATGATCCAAAATTTAATTGAATGATTACGTACAGAATTGTGTACTTGATTATCTCATTGTAAAACTATCTTACATCGCATGTAAGATGTATTGATAATATAATTTTGTGCAACAGTCTTAATAAGGTATTTTTATTTAAATTTTTGAATTTGTTATATACAAAGACTTAACGGTTGGAACGACGAAATATTGAATCCAACTGTCTCCTCTCAAATAGTTCTGGATAATTATAACCCTTCATATTCCATCGCCAGTTTATCAAAGCCACCTCATCAACCTTAAAACTAGGCTTGCTCACTTAGACTTAACCTTTTTTGTAAATATGAAACTACATAGAAATAGAAAAAAAGGAATTCCAATTGGTTATAGATGACAATTTACATTTACATCATTTCATGGCATAATCTAGGGAGGATTGTGTTTTAGGTATTCAACTTCGGAAAGTGTTTTTTTATCAGTTTACTTCCTTACTTCCTTTTGAAAATAAATCCCGAAATTGTCAGTAAATTCAAAGTAGGTAACCATGATTTGTTTAGAGAAAAATGGATATGGCAAAACGTTGGCGCGGTGAAAGGAAATGTAACTCCGCCGATATATATATATAATAATTGATGAATTTATGATTATACTGACTGACTTTAAAAACGCAACACTCATTTTGTTGATTTTTTTTCCACATCATGTTTGATTCTCATACAACTACTATTAATGCTTACCATAATTCATTCTCTTTAGAAAAAATCAACATCTGACTTACCTGTGGTTATTGAACATACCGGATTTTTGAAGTCGAATGAATTTTTTAAAGCGAAATTTGGAACCCATAAAAGATTTTTTCAGTTTGTTTTGCTTCATGAAACAGTTCTTTCAATCCTTGGCCACACTTAAATCAGTTAAAAAATGTTGCATCTCCATATTGCCAAGACTGAGGAATAAAGAACTGAATCAGCCCATAAGAATACTGCAAACAGAAAAACTTGAACGTGCTGCAACCATACAGTTTGACTTCAGAAACTCGTCTTACTGTCCTTCCGACAACGATACAAGTAGACGGAATTTGTTACTGACCATCAATGGCCAGATCAACATGTAGTGACAATGCAACGTCAATAGAATTTGATTACGCAACGTCATTTGCGGGACATGTTTACGGCTGCAACGTCAACTGCTTATTAAATTGCCGAATGCCATTGCGCACAGATTCATGCCATACACGTTTCCCATAAACTTAACTGCCAAAGAATCGACTGAAGAAAAACATTTAAAGCTTAAAGTTTCCACCGCATAATTGCCAAAACCCATTGTAATGGGTGGAACAAACGCATATTCAGAAGGTGTAAAACAGAACCCAAAAATGTGGAACAGAATTGGTTGATATTTTTGACAATCATTTTGGCGTTTGTTACAGGCAGTCATTGCTTTTGACGGTGCCACATTCATTCAAAAATTTAAAGAGAATAATCTAGTGTTGCGTTTCTAAAGTCGGTCAGTATATAATTATTTGTTTGCTGTTCTCAATTGAAAAACCGACACACATTTATATATATTGTAAATATTTCCATAACAGACCAAGTATCATGTGCTATCATACCACATCTCCTTATTTTTAAATTTGTATGCTACAATTGTTTACCTTTAATTTTATTGTCATCTATTAATATTGTATCTTTCTCGATAAACTTGTTCTAAGATTTTGGAAACAAAATATTTTCTAGGTGTACTACTAGTATCCTACATCTGAATCCGCCAATGGAATATGTTTTAAATCCATAGTCTTGATTACATTGTGTCTGATACATTTTAACCACGGCATATACTACTTTTAGAGTCAGACTTTAAAAGAAAATGTGAATGTTTCTTTTAATAATTCAATTTCATTCATAATCAATTTTGTATGTAGATGTTAATTTTTGTATTTGCACAAAACATGTTATGCAAAGCTCGAGAATTCTTCTGGTAGGTTCATTTAAGTATGAAATCAAAAGACAAATGTGCATCCAATTAAAATCGAAACGGTACATTTATATTGTTCCTTATAACCAACGACATTACTCTGACACAAGTATTTTTTTTTTCTTCATTTTTTAGTTCTACACATCAGTGCACAAGAAAATCCTCGCCGATGATACATTTCAATCTGTTGTCTTACACACAATAATGTTTCAACCCCACTATTTGAAAAATCAAGCAACGACACAGCATAACAAAAAGTTAGAAGTAACATAGTACATTCCATTGTCGGTCACCTGTGTTAATTCACGTGCACTCTACGATTGTTGTTGTATTTAAATCTTTCGACCAATGAAATGAGACGTTAAAAGTTGTTTGTTTGTGATACGCCAGAATGTTATCAATGAATTATCAATCGCTAAACTTGACTGCAGATAAGTGTATGCCATATAACAAAGATATTTGTATTGATATGGAATCGTGTCTTAAAACAGAACGATTTATTGTCGGATTGCGAGACTTTCTTTGCACTTCACATTGTTTTGTTTAATTCTATTCATGTTGTAAAATGATTAAGTGCAAAAATTAATAAATAGAATAAGTACTTATGCCTAATTATTTCCGTTAAGATACATAGTTTTATCCATTCTAGCATGGTCTTAATGGTTTTCGTCTCAGGTCAATCTATTCTAATTTTTAAAACATTATGATAGGTTGTTGTTTGCTGATGTGATTGTTTTTAGTAATATCGTTACCGATTTCTACCTTTTTCTGGTAAAAATAGAAAAAAATACATAAATCCGAGTTGGATGACGTGGAAAAACATTTGGCAATCATGTTTTTTTCCAACTTTTTCTAAAATAATATGAATAATATGTATATAAATTACAGAACCTAATAATTCACAAATAGTGTATTTGACCTCTAGCTTTAATTGAATCAAATTGCTTCCAGAAACAATGCCTACCGAAAAATGGTTTGAATTATTACGATTGACACGTTCGTCTAAGCTACCCTTATCTTAGTAGCAATATACCAACTTCCCCTGAATATGGGATATACATTTCCAATTTTTTCGGTATTCAAGCGCCTGCAGCTTCTACTCTGACTTTATAATACATCATCAGTGTCCAAGCAGAACGTTGTTGAACCAGGGCAATGTTAAAGAACGTCTCTTCCTTTTTCTAATAAAGTCCATTGGATGATACTAAGAACTTGTTGATAAATATTTCTTTTCAACTTCACAAATAAAACAGGATGGTCTTGAAGTGTACATTCTAGGAACAGACGTTGTTTATCATCTCAGTGATGGCGTCCATAAAAACTTTTCAAATGAAGGGATGACTTTAACCTTACCACTCTGAACCCATTATTCAATAAATATTCTGTATCAACTTCACAAATAATTCAGTATGGTCTTGAAGTATAAATTCAAGGTACTGACGTTATTTGTTACCTTAATAACGTATAATAGTGCTCTTTTATTTGTCTTTGTAAATTATTACTATTACGGGTAATATTCATTAATTTGACATGGCTCGGTACGTATACATTCTGTTATTGTGTTATTGGGCTTGGGTAAATTTTTGTATTTTTGTCTTTCGTTTTTACTGCTGTACTTTGTCTTGAAGTTTTTGGTTTTTGTTTGTTGACATATTTGTATGTTTCTATAGTGATAAAGATACATGTAATAACACAATGTTGACTGCCGTACCCCTATTTTTGTCATTTTTACCTATCATGTCTGTTTGTTTTATTCACACATTTTTGTCGAGATATTGGATGTTTATGCGACTGTCATGGAAGTGAAAGGTTTCGCTAGCTTTAAAATCAGGGTTAATCCACCATTTTCTACATATGAAAATGCCTGTACCAAGTTAGGAATATGACAGTTATTATCCATGTTTGAGCTTTCGATTTTTCTCTTGATTATAGACTTTCCTTTTTAAATTTTCCTCGGAGTTCAGTATTTTTTGTTATTTTACTTTTAAGTACTCATACGAACAATCATGAAACTAAAAGAATATGTTGGGTATACCGCTGAAGACTGCATGCTGCATGTTGTTATGTTGCTAGTTATTTGTGTTGTCGAATAGTTGCTGTCTCAATGATGTATAATTCATTAACCATCAAATACGCCTACAACGTAAATGGATGACAAGGAAGAAAGCATAATGACACATTTTTGTCCATTTTCGTAATGAACAAGCCAAAACAAAAAAAAGAAGATTATTAACAAAAACCAACAAGCTTAAAATTAAGATTCAAGAAATGGATCAAAGACACAAACGACCGAATCTTATAGAAAGCTTTTAAACAATTGAGAATGAACAACAGTGAACATAAACTGAACTTAATCCATTGGGTATGTACTGATTGATATACCTTAATCTGAGAAACACGATTTATTTATTGATTGTAATTGTCTTTCGCTCGGTTTCAGTAACTGTTGGTACTTTGAATCTTTAGTCCTTTTGCTAATTGTCTTTCCTGTGTTGATAGGATGAATCAAACCTTTTTTCTATCGATTTTTATTGTTGTACTTCTTTTGTGCCAATTAAAATCTACCAATTTGAACCATTCATATAAATAAAACTCATAGACAAGGATAGATTTTTCTGAAAAGTGTTTAATAAAAATAAGAAAATATGATATGATTGCCATCACATATATCGTTATCACCG